GGATTTATCGCCTGATGATTTTATGACTTGCAGATAGACCTCGTCCTATCGGATTAACGTGGCCAGGTTAGCTCAAGCGACCGACACTTCCCGGCCCCGATCGGGTGCGATAACGAGAAAACATACCTGGCCCATCAAAGCAATGGTCAACCCAGCAAAGGCACCACCGCTCAGCACGAGCGCAGCGGCCACACCCAGGTAGAGCCAGAATCCCGGATCATCGGCTGGTTTGGGGTCGAATTCATGGCCGCCCAAGACATGGTGGTGATTGCGAGAGACGACTGTTGGAGCGGCGGAGATGAGGGGTATTTGGGCGGAAGCCAGAAGAAACAGTTTCGCTAAACCGAGGACAACGGGCCTGAGGGCCAGGTAGCGGTTGGCCGAAGGTATAGCCATCAGCAGTTGGTGAGGGAGTGGAAAAAGAGGAAGTAAGTAGGAGCACGGGCTACTGCAGAGACATATTTATGGCGAAAAACGATGATTCTACGGAGTTAGTGCCTCTTCTCCTCTTTCTGGACTAGTTTGGGGACGAGACTCTGAGAGCCAAAACCTACTTAGTACCACCTTACATAGACTACGGTGGATGTCCCGATGACGTGCGGCCCTCTCTCGGCTGGTGGAGCTCCCAAGCATGTCCTCATTCCTCAAACTCTGGGGGATCTATTCTCCGTATCAGATCGACTGGAACAATGCTATCTACCTAGCTAGTCTTCTCTTTCAGTCGTATCTAAGAGGTAGAATCTCTTGTCGAATGGGCTTGATCCTGCAAACGAACAGCAGCAAGGAGTTTCCCACTTTCCATCCTTTTTCTTGAGGCCTTTCTTCGTTCTTTTTCTTCGCGACTAGATCTTATTGGGTTTAGTGCCTCAGGCTTGGATCTGTATTATTCCAGATACGGACTGGTTCCAAGACATTGACACCCAACCAAATGCTTAGCTGACCGCATGAGACTGTACTAACCAGTAAGGGTTAGCCTTGATCACAGCTTCCATTTCCGATTCTTCAAGGAACAACAGCAGTTTATCCATATCCACTAGATAAGTCTATTGTGAAATAAAGAAGAATAGCGAAGAAGGATAACTGGACCTACTCGCTAGAGCTTAACAGCTTCTATATCTTCTTCGAAGTCCAGTTCAATTGCTCATCCAGCATGGTATAATGAAGTTGATAGATTCGCTTCGGCTTCTTTCTCGGAAAACGCGAGAATGCAGTCTGTTGAAGAAGCAAAGGACTACCATTCATCCGTGATCGACAATTGAGTCCCTCTGGCAATCTTGGATCATATCAAAGATGGAGCACAGAACAACCAGGTATAAGTATATCCCTATTAGGGATGGATTGTACTCTCTTTTACCATCTGATCTGCTAATCTCTACGCTCATTTTCGAACAACCGGTAGAATAGTGGTCCTTAAGGTCCTTCAGCGATGCTAGTGCTCTTCCAATGCCTCAAGTCAATCTGGTTTTCCATAGTTACTCTACCGCGAAGATGCAGTAGTGGAAATAAACATGAGGGAAATGGACGGGAATAGAAGATGTAGTACTGAGCAGACAGACCCAAATAAAGTAGAGCAGATGAGCTTTCAAGGACGAAGGGCATCTGTCGTGGCAAACAGGAATGCTGACCATGGAGCTGTATATGAGTGGCCTCATGAATGGTCCTCTCAGCTTTCCATATCACTCCGATTGACAGACGGATTATCGAGTGGCTGGAGTCTACTGAGGTAGTTGCTGACATCTGAAGACATCAATCCTGTCACATGTATCACTGTCTCAAGAGTGCTAGAGTGTATCCTCATCCATGTTTCTGGAAAACGTACTGTGGGCTGCTTCTCTCAAAAATCGTTGCGATAACATCAGACTTCGAATGACTGCTTCCACCTTGACGGTCTGGTTCCCTCACGTAAAGAGAATCAGCTTCTCTGACCGGTAATTGCCGCAATCTAAGTGATCTCGAGATGGTGATATCGCCATGACCTACTGTAGTGGCATAGCATGAAGCTCTCACCACCGAGGCCAGATGCTTCCAGCACCTCAAGCCGATGCCAGTGCCTTCTCTGGACTCTGAATATTCACTTCCCATAGCCTGTATCTCGTCCAGACCGACGCAGGTTCCGGATCCTGCCCCCCAATAGATGTGTGATATTCACTCTGTGCCCGTTTCCGGCCCGGTTCTGCTGCTGGTTTCCCACCTTCACCTCCCCAAAGCCTCGCTTGACAGGAGAACATTCACTCGATCTCGCTTACCTGTTGCTGGAGCAGGTTTTCGTGATTCTTGCCACTCGTTTTGTTGTGTTTCCCTTGCCTCCTGCTCACTATTTCTTTCTCCCCTTCTGCTCTCTCTCCATCTTCTCTCCTTCTCTGCGAGAGCATCTCATATTACCATCTTTCAATCTTCTAAAACGATCATCAAGCAAGTACCAATTCTTCAAACAAGATATCTTCATCTCAAAGGATCTCATCAGAGTATCGTCCAAGAACCTCAATCATCTCTTTATCGTTCTCCTCAAATCGACTCATCAAGAAGCCACCAAGTGCTTCTCTTCTCTCGACAACATTCCAAAAGACAAGAACCTTGTGTTGTCGAGTTTCTTTCCCCTCCACCACCTCCCAAGCACCATGACTTCTCACGTTGAGATGTACTTCCTGTACGGAGAAGCCTACGACGAAACCGCCCCAGTTACAAGGGCAGAGGCCTGGGTCCGTCAGTTCGCTTACGCGGACTTGACGACCGGCGCCGCGCTTTCCTTTGCGCTCGTCACTCTCCTGGGGGTCATGGCTTTGTTTTGGGAGGATCTCGCTCCCTGGATCTCGGCCGTCGCGAAGAGACTCGTCTCACCGATCCTTGCCGTGGTTGCCGCAGCCAGTTCGCTCGTTATGCAGCTGGTTAGCGTTCGCTCCCGTCAGGAGCTCGGCACCATCGTGCAGGATTGGGTCAAGCAGCCGATTGTCGACTGTCGCCTCGTCCGACTCGTCTCCGCCGTTGTCAGCTGGTGGTTTCCCTCCAATCAACCCCTGACAACAGCCTGCCGGCTAGCCGGTTCATTTGTCTGCGGTATGACCGCGTACGTGTGGCTCTTCTTCCCTCTTTCGCAGTTCCTGTCTGGCTTTGCCGACGGTCTGCTGACTGAGACGAAGGAGATGTCCCTGTACTGCATGGGCATCCACGGACGGTGGACCATCGCTAGTCGGCTTACCTGGCGTCAGTGGGGGAGGGTCGCCTTCTGCAACGGTGAGGAGACCGGACTCGAGTTGCGCGCGATAATCGAGGACGATTGGCAACTGCCACGTCTTTTCGACCTCGACGGCGAGATCCACCACCTCCGAATCCCTGCTTTCGCGGTTGCCAGTGTCTCGCTCGCCATCACGGCGGCGTGGTCGTTCCGCGCTCTCTCCGAGACCGCCTTGTTCGCGCGTGTCGTCGTTGTTTTCCAGCAGCCCTCGTCTCCGGGCCAGAGAGCGGACCATGTCGCCGGCAGCGAGACACAGCTTTCTGGGTCGTCAATCAACAAGCGGCAGGATGACTTGATGAACCTGATCAGCAGGTACGAAGGCATCCTTTCCGAGAAGGAACGTCTCCTGTCCGCCACGACCCAGAAGCTTAGGGCGACCGAGCAACGGATGGAGGATGGCTGGGCTCAAGCCAAGCGGCTGGCTGCCCTCCAAGTCAAACGCGCAGAGGAAACTCGCGCCCGTGAGTCGACCGACGTTGCCCAGTTGCGACGCAAGCTCGCGGAAACGGAGGCGCGGCTCAGCCTGGCCCAGGGTAGAGCGAGAGCGGTGGAGGATGATGCCACTGCGAGACTGCGGTCCCTCTGCAACCAAGTGGCCGAGCTGGAACAGCAGCTGCAGGCCCAGAGGGAACAGGCGGGGGACATTTCCCTGGGCGAAATCGATTCGCTCAGAGCCGAACTCGAAGTTCGGAATGACCAGCTCGTCGCCATCGAGCACCGCCTGGCCGCCGCAGAGGCCCGAGAGCGCGACTCTCGTGGCCGGGCAAACGATACCGAAGCCGAACGTCGCCAACTCGCCGATCGCGTCCACGAGCTCGATGCTCAAGCCCAGGAACTCACTGCCCAGAACGAGGTGCTCCAGGCCTTGTGCGACACCCTGTCGCAGGAGTGTGGTTCTCTGGCGGCAATCCAGCAGGAGCGCGACGACGCCTTCGGGCTGATATCCGCCCTGCAGCACGAGCTCGTGTCGACAAGAGCGACGGCGGAGACCGCATTTAGGGAATCCCAGGAGTCCCTCGCTCAGACTCGCGCAGCCGAATCAAACCTCCGACAATCCATGCAGGAACTCAGGCACGCCTGCGACTTGACTCTCGCGCAGGAGCGTGCGGCCAGTGCTCGGGCTCAGGCTCGGGCGTCCGAACTTGAGGCGGAGGTCGAAGACCTCCAAACCAAGGTCGGGCTGGCCATGAGGGACGCACAGAGGGCCCAGGAGAGGGCGGTGTCTGCCGAGAGGACCATCGGGATCCTCCAGACCCGCCTGACCAGGCATGAGGACGCTGCCCGGGGCGCGTTGCAAGAGATCCCCAAGCGCCAGATTGGCAATTTGGGGTCCATCTCCACCGCCCTGGCCGAGAGCGAGGTGAAGGTCGCCCAGCAGCAGGCCGAAATCGACGACCTCCGGCGCCAAGTCGAGCAGTTTAAGCTGCAGGGACCGTCTGGCCCGATCGACAAGGCTGTCCAGGAGGACGTTCAGAAGCTGCGGGCTGCCCTTGATAGGGTACGGAGAGAGCGGACGGAGGACCAACTCCGTTGGGACAAGAGAACGCGTGAGCTGGAGGAGGACAACCGAAAGCTGCGCATCTCCCTGTCGAACGCAGAGGCAGCGTCGGGCCGCCGCCCTGGCGGTCGCCGGCCTCCTACTCTCCCCTGATTTCCTACAGGGTGCTTGTTCAGCCCACCTGGACCGGCCGGAGAGCCACGTTTCGACGGGGCTTTCATGGCAACGGGCCGGTGGACCCCTGAACAGAGTCCCTGGATCGGGGCCCTATTACTCCTTCCCTAGATGTCGACGTTTCGGCTCGGTATCCTCGCAGTGGCATAAGGTGAATGGGGGCAGCGCGTGTTGCGGAACGTGGGTGGGCTGGGGTCCTTGATGGACACGCACACGGCGCTTGCCAGGGATAAGGGGGGCAGTGGAGGAAGGAATTGCCTTCGGGCCGGGGACTTGGACTTCAGGGATGGACTGTGGGCTGGTGAGGCGGGCGTGTGTTGGTGGGCGGGCTAGGGGTCCTTGATGGACAAACACACGTCCCGCGGAGGGAAGGAAATCATCGGAGTCGGCGTGAGTCTTGATCATGGCCAGTATTGATTTTGAAGCGTCCTCTCTTCTGTGCTGTTGGCGTTCTGGCGTTGTTCTTTCACATAACGAACGAATGAACCGCTCAGTTACAACTGAGTGATGATTGAACGAGTATGACTTGACCTCTCGTAGACTTGATGCCGTAGACCTTCCCAGTTCATACTGTGATTTGCAGTTGTTGATCAATCTTGGCTGATAATGATCGACTCGGAAGATCACCTCCAGCCCTATGGACCAGCATTTGTAATGTCACTGGTTATGACTTGTCCTTTGATGTTCATGTTCATGTTCAGAATTTTCATGATGAGGTGCTCCATGTTATCCACCAGCCCTGTAGACCCGCGCTGTTTCATGTTCCCCCACTCGAGTCCACATTCTCCATACTATCTATACACATAGTATGGTGGATCGACATATCGCTTATGAGAAGGGTCCATACCTATCCATTTCATTTTTCAGTATTTTTGTGCGATCATATGTAACATAGACAGAGTATACAGAGTATCTAGTCTCTTAACTAGCTACCACTTACCAGTCTACTGCAGACATTGTTCAAGCTCCATTCATTGCAGCCGGTAAAAAGGTTTAAATGCTAGAATGCCAAGCAGCGGGCGTTTCCTTATCCAAGGCTTTGTTGATTCTGGTGCTTTTTGTGGAGACTTGGATATCGTCTATCCATTGGATACAGAATATAGCATATGCTGTCTTTGCAACGGTTGCTCAGTACTCCGGTGTTGACATTGACTGACACTGATAAGTACTATTATTATTGACACTGGACAGTCTGTAATGGTGATGCCCAGACTCATGTCCAGTTGTTTGTGTTGAAACAGATGCATTCGTCTCAACAAGGATGTCTGTGGAGAGAACTGCTCCTCCATGGGTCAGGAAAGTCTAGCGCCCGAATTGTTTCAGCTTGAAAAGGAGTTTGTTTCCATTAGCTGATTTGTTAGTTTATTGGGTGATGATTTTGAGAAACCGAGGGGACAAATAGATAGACAGAGGACTAAGGAAAATACGGTTTGGCCGTCATCCTCGTCTTCATCCATCCGTTCATTCTTTGTCCATTTCAGCTTCTTCATCTGCTGAACCCCTCCATTCCTTATTGCATCATCTTCTTCTCAGCTTCGTCAGTTGCCAATCATCAGCGTCCATTCCTTCCAAGTTCCAGTTCCAGCCTCGTGTATCTTCATCCCCACAATCCGCACATTGACACAGACACGCGCCCTGACCCCTATCTTGGCAAAGGGATCCATCACGATTACTCCCTCTGATACGAAGTAGAATACCTTCAGTCGCTCCTTTGTGTCTCATCTGCATCGTGCATTGAATTCGAAATCAATGGTGAATGGTTATTGTGCGATTGATCCGCTGCGGTTGTTGATCCCCCGCCCCTGAAACAGGTCCTTTGACGAGCGCTTTGCGACCGTCCAAGGGCCATGCGCCTGGGGATCTCGTAGCCGCCGATCGAAATCGATCATCTGGAACTCTGTCGCTCTTTTTCCTGGGCTCTTGCTCGAAGTTTCAAACAATCCTTTCGAACATACTGCTCTTTATCTCTCGTTTCTGGAATCGCTATTGTGCGATTGCGACTGTGCGCGGCTGGCCCGAGCAGGTCGATTCAGTGACACCTCTACCTCGTCAGGTGTAACTCACCATTCGTTGTGAATCTGTCGACTCCGACTTCGTTTTCGTCTCTGTCGTTTGCTATCTGTTTCTGGCCGGACAGGTATACGCACAGAAATAAATATGCCTTGCTGCGGTGAGCGCGAAAAGGGTCCTGTATCAAGGGAGGAGAAATGGGACTCAGTGGTAAGTGTGAAACACGGGCGCGGTCACTGATAATTGCAAGGGAGTCGCTGATTACCTTGCTTGCAGAATCTGGACGACTTCAAGTCCGAATCGTGTCTAACGCCCTTCTCTTACTTTTTGGTATACGTCTTTCTTTTGGTATCCCTCGCGGTGTATGGCGTCGACACCTTCACAGCAGTCAATCTGCTGGCCTTCTCTCGATGGGCCGGCTCAATTGAGCCGGCTATTCCCTTTACAGTGTCGAGATGGATCTTTGCCGTTTGCATTATCATCTCTTTCATCCTGTTGTTTCTTCGGTGGCTTCATGCGATTCGCGCGATGCGCTCGGGGAGCATTGCCCGAAGTTACTTGGATCCGCTGGCTGCGCGGGTCCAGAGTATCCGTATGGGGAGACGTGGTCGCGGCTGGAGACGCTTTTTGGTCTTTGCGGAGTTAACGAAGAGTAAGAAGGGCGCAGAGTATGTGGCTTTGTTCGCGTACTTTTCTTTCGAGAGTAAGCCTCCTACTTTGTCTACTATTTGGGGTTCAACTGACGTGCCATTCTAGGTTGGATGAATACCGTGTTCGCAGATGGTCCCCGCCAAGTTGTCAATGCCATCACCTTGTACTCCGTAATGAGAATGGACCTTCTTCCCGGTGGTGAAAACTCGGTGGACGACGACAAGGCAGGCATCATACAGTTTTTCGAGAATGTCAAAATCTTAGCCGAGGACAACAACCAGAGAGCCGTGGTCTTGTGTGGTATGCTCTTCACGCTGGTTATCTGGGTGCTGTCGATCCTCAAACTCGCATCCGCTGTGATCCTCTACCTCATCTTCCTGTTCCACCATATCCCCGCCGAGGATGGTTCTCTGAAGGTGTATTGCCGTCGCAAAATCAACACCCGGCTCATGCGCGTCGTTCGCCGGAAGGTGGACAAGGCTTTGGCCAAGAGCACCTTGGATCGCGCGCCGACTCAACCACACCTCGCCCTTGACCGGAAACCGACCCTACCTATGGTGGTTGACCTGGATGCGGAGGACAAGGCACCGACCGTTACGACTCTCTCACGTTCTACGACTCAGACCACGCTTCCACCGTATACTTCGCGCCCAGGAACCGCGGCACCGGAGCGGAACCCAACTCTTCCTACCCTCCCCGACGTATCATGGACGGAGAAACCGGTCTTGAGCCGAACGGTGACTCAATCATCGGCGCATTCGGAATTAACATCGTACTCTGGGGCTACTGCAGTCTCCGGCTACAGCCCTCTTGATCGCGGGTCTTCACCTGCGCCGCCTGTTCCTCCTGTCCCTACCAGCGTGCCGATGCCCGGAGCACGTTCTTACACGCCCGTATCACGGCCGCCGACAACCCGGCCAACACGTACACCGGCGCCGCCGTCCGCAACCAACGCACCAAGCCGTATGCCCACGACGATAAACCAGGGCGACTATGAGGAAGCTCCACGCCGTTATCCCGATCCCTACAGTACCGATACACCCTACGATGAAAACTATGGCGCGTATCAATCGTACAGTGCAGCCCCTGATCCTTACTCACGCTCCTTGACGCGTGGAGTTGCTGTCTCGCCTGGCGAGGACTATCCAACTCGGACGTTATCTCCTCAAAGTCACAGGGGAACAGCCCAGCCACCACCCAACGCACAGCCTAGTTCGTATAGGATGGACTATCCAACTCGGACGCTATCTCCTCAGAGTCACAGAGGAACACCCCAGCCATCATCCAACCCACAACCTAGCTATCCCGTACGAGCATACACTCCAGGCGACGCTGGGACGGCTCGACCTCCGCTGGCCGTTGATACAGCTGCAAGTTATGCCGAAGGAACATACACCCCAGTCTCTCAGAGAGCCACACCCCGACCGCAGCAGCAGAGCCCACAGCAGCAAGGAGGATATGTTGCATTTGATCCCTCCTCGATGGCCCCGAGCCAACCCAGTGCCGGCATTCGACCAACAAATTCTCCGGTTTATCATGCTTATGGCGGACCGGGCAGTGCTACGTCGCCCAACGGGCCTAGCAACCGAGGACCGCCTGTACGAGCCTACACGCCGCAAGGCTACAACCCTCAACCGCGGCCCTATCGACCAGACTACGCCTGATTGTTTCAGCATTGGGTAGTCCATGTACAGAACGATTAGTTGTGAAGCAGCTAGGTTTATGATATGTTACGACTTCCAGAAGAGCAGGTCTCTTCTGTGATTGATTGATGACTGGATCAGCGGACTTTGTACTTCATGACGGGCGGCTTCAGGTCGCTGTAAATACCCTTGGATCTTATTCGATCTATTTTCTTGTTTCAATACCTTCTTCGGGAACATATCATGGATTGACGCTGCTTTGCTCTCTGGCGATCGGTGGAGGTATTTGGAGCACAAAATAGATAACCACAGCCTAGACATAGTGGCATTTACTTAGCAATTCAATAACAGCCCTTATTTAAGTCTAAACTTGCGTGAAGTGCTGGCAGGATCCAGAATAGGCAGTTCAACCACTCATATGATCACAATTGACCATTCTACATTCGATATAGACCGGGGTAGAGCAAATGACTCCTTTATCTGCGCATATATCGCGGTGTCTTAACCCAACATGCGGTTACATAGTTTCTCTAAGCGTCAAAAGCTACAGCTTTTGTTCATCTCAACAAGTACCTACTTGCTATATGCCAGTGATCCTGCTTTTCGCCGGCGAATCCAGCGGCATGATGCTAGGGCCAGAAGACAACGACTGACGCGGTATTCCCCAGCCTTTTCTCTCTGTAGTAGTGTTTTCTGTAGTACTAACTTATAATCAATGTAGAGAACTATGATCGCAAGTTCTTTCCACCTATGGAGGGCTCAACCCATTGATTGGTGAATGTCGAGTGCTGGCCACGGAGGAAGGGGTATAGAGTGGACACCTTGTTGTCTTTTGCGCAGTGCAGGCTCTTTAGTTTATGGGCTTACTTCTGTATCTACCGGAACACAACTTAGGGATACATGAGCCTGAGATGATATCAAGTACTTGTAGTTATTGTCCTGTACATATTGTTGTACATACTGCTCGTATTAAAGCACAACAAACTGGGGCGGAGCACCTTATCAGCGACCATACCAAAAGCAGCCAACTAACCACGAAAGGAAATTCCTGGTCCTAGCTTACATCCACTTGGCCTACTCCGTACGGTGTACCTATGTGTCAACTGTCATCAAGCTCCACGCCACTGGTTAGGGTACATTTATTCCTGAGTACCTCTAGCACAGACAGAATGGGCTTAGATCCTCACTGAGGCTACACACGACGGTATTCACCCGCTTTACCTGACGTCGTGGATGCGCAGCGCCATCGCCATCGCTCCCTGCAATGGTTCCTCATCGGCGTTCTTCTTCCTCCGACCACCACCCTTCACGGCACGATAATCATCAGCCTTCGAGTTCCTCCGATGAGCCATGGGATTTGCAGCGGGAAAATGGCTCGAAGGGCGGTGAAATGCGTGAGTTGTATGGGGATGGGAATACCGACTTGCCGCGACCGGAGACGCCTACAAGCGAGACCAGAGACCGGGATATAGCCACGAACGGGAACGAATCGCAAACCTTGAGGCGTCAGAGAACGAAATCTATACGTCAAGAAACGGACGGGATTGGCGACACTACGAGCGATACTACTACAGCGAATGGGGCTTTGGATAACAAGGAGTCTCACAATGATTACGCCGAGCTGAAAGCCGGACAGTTTCCCCCGCAGCAGGCTCTGGGGCTCGTTTTTGAACATACCGATAATGGTGACAACGCCCACCGGACATCGTTGGTCGATGTGCTTCAAGGGGCTGAGGCCGGCGCCGCGCTGAATACCTGGTCAGAGAAGATGTCACCCTCGAAAGGGCAGGATATGGAGCGAGAGCGGGAGAAGGTTCTGAAGCTGTCTCCGGCGAAGATCCAGGAGCTCACGTCGTCGCCGCAGTCGATACCGTATCGTCCTGTGGCTTCGGGGACAGAGCAAGGCCGACGGGTGTTGTCGGATGGCATGCATACCACAGGTGCAGATTCGGACACGGGCGAGTCGAGAGTTCACGCTGGCCATATTGCTAGAGATTTTCAGACAGAGGATGGATCGGGGCTGGGAATCTCCGCCGCATCGAAACATTCCGTGTCCAACGGTCGTACTCGGCCACACGCCTCGAGGACAGTCTCGACTCCCACCTCATCGCGACGACCGACGCTACCTGGCACCAACGAACGGCTAGCGCAGACGTGGGCATCCCGGTCCAAACCGGACCGCCCGGGGATCGGTCTGGGGAACGGTCGCTTGGAGCAGGAATCCAAGCGCCAACTCAGCCCTTCGCCGGTCATCACCGAGCCTGCCTTGCCCTCTCCCATGCCGCCGTCCATCCCGCTTCCTCCGCTGTCGGTGCCGACGTACCTGCAGTTGGAGCTTTCGTCTGGCCGACCCTCGCCTTTGTATATCCATCGCTCCGTCACGAATGATTTCCCGTATGAGTCGTCGCGCGTCAAACTCGAGCGCTTGTCGAGTTTTCTGAGACTGCCGCCGGCCCTGGAGCAGGTGCTCTGGTTTGGAATTCTGGCGTGCCTGGACGCGTGGCTGTATTCGTTTACGATCCTCCCCCTGCGATTCTGCAAGGCTTTGTATATTCTGTTGGAATCCTGGTTAGTCAACCTGGGCATGGAGTTTCGTTTTGTCTCGGACTTTGTCATCAAGGGAATCGGGAGAGTCTGGCGGAGGCAGAAGAAATCAGCCCAGGTCTCGGAGGCTGAACGTAGACCGCGAGGTACTTCTGCAGAACGAGGACCAAGAACCAAGTCCGGGGAATCGCGGCGACGGCACCGTGCGGATACACACAAGCACCAGCATCGCCGGCAGAAGTCCATACCCTCTGCTCTTCTGCCTGACGACAAGGCCGACATCCTCAAGGGACTGCTCATGATTGCTACATGCTGTGTTCTGATGTACTTTGACGCCAGTCGAATGTACCACTGGATTCGAGGTCAGGCGGCTATTAAACTGTACGTGATCTACAATGTGCTGGAGGTCAGTGACCGGCTGTTGGCCGCCATCGGACAAGACGTGCTCGAGTGTCTCTTCTCGCGTGAGGCTCTAGAGCGCCGCCCGGACGGGCGCAGCAAGGTGTTTCGGCCGTTTGGCCTCTTTTTGCTGGCCTTGGCTTATACTGTGCTTCACGCCACGTCATTGTTCTACCAAGTCATGACGCTGAATGTGGCGGTCAACTCGTACTCGAACGCGTTGATCACGCTTTTGCTTTCGAACCAGTTTGTCGAAATCAAGTCGACGGTCTTCAAGAAGTTCGAAAAGGAGAACCTGTTTCAGCTTACGTGTGCCGATGTGGTTGAGAGATTCCAACTCTGGCTGATGCTCACGATCATAGCCTCGCGCAATATTGTGGAAACCGGAGCATTCAATTTCGTTGGCACGCTGAGCTCCAGTCTGAGTAGTCGGTCGACCAGCACCAACAGCACGCCTCTGTCGACTCCTCCCAGGTCGTCGTCCTCTATTCTCCCGCAGTCTTTCACCTTCTTTCCGTCGTCACTCATCTCCTCCTTCAGCCAAGTCAACTCCTTCCTGCCTACACTGGCGCAGGTTCTGGGCCCGTTCTTGGTTGTCCTCGGGTCGGAGATGCTCGTGGACTGGCTCAAGCATGCATACATCAACAAGTTCAACAACACCCGGCCGGCCATCTACGGCCGCTTTTTGGATGTTCTGGCCAAGGACTACTATACCAATGCGTTTGGCGACCAGAACCTCACCAAGCGTCTAGGACTTCCGGTGATCCCGCTGTCTTGCCTCTTTTTCCGGGTCTCTGTCCAAACGTATCAGATGTTCCTTGCCGCCCTGCTTCCGCACCAGCCTTCGTCGACGGCCGTTGAGTCGACCTCCCTCGCCTCGATTCACAGCCACTACGTGCCATCGCCGATCCCGTCCGCGCCTCCGCTGACTTTACGTACTATCCTCCCTGCCTCGGCCGCGCACGCCAGCGCTTTCTTCCGGACGGTGTTGGCCAACGCGATGCCTTCGCCGGCACAATCGGTGTACATTTTCACCATTGTACTCATTCTCACGGCGTTTATCCTCCTGTTGGTCCTGAAGCTGCTTCTGGGCATGCTTCTGCTAGCGTACTCCCGCTCGCGGTACAAGAGGATGAAGGCCCGGGAGGCGGAACAGGCAGCGCACAAGACGGAAAGCGGAAGTGCCACTGGCACTGCCTCTCGGGGACGCGAGTTCGCGATCGAAGGGAGCCGTCGCGTGGGCGGGTGGGGGTCGGTCGAGGTGAACGACGACAAGCGGCGGTGGATCTATGCGGATGACCCGGAGGGACTGCGGCGGTTGAAGGCGCGGGAAGAGAGGGACAAGGAGAAGGCTGCGAAGGAGGGCGAGGCGTCGATGGACCATGTGCAGCGCTACGAGATGGTGGCCAAGCGGATATGGTAGATAGATTAAAGAATTATTTTCATTATCATAATCATGACGGTCATCAATGTCAACACTATTTACATGATTGTACAACACCACGATCTGGCCTCCACCGGCTTCCTCGCCACCAAAACATACAGATTCACCAACGGCAACGCAGACGTGCAATGCCGCCCAAACTCCTCAACCAGCCGCTCCGCGCGCTCAATGGCTTTCTTCTCGTCAACCACCTCCCCAGACTTGACCATCGCATGCGGCATCAGCGCCCGAAGAACCTTCATCAGCCACGTGCGCGCCGGCTCCCGCAAATGCGGCTTATCCGCCGTGCTGTTGGCATACAGCCGGGCATCCACGAACCCCGTCTGCGCCGCCAGCTGATGGAGATACTGGGGGGCATACCCACACAGACCGAGCTTCTCGACCGCGTCGACGACAATCTGCCTCATTTCCATGTCGATGGGGGTAGGGTCGTCCGTGCAGAAGGCGGTGGTGTCGCAGTCGTCCCATTGGAGGTAGCCGCCTGGTTCTGTCGTCGCCTTAGCTACCGTACTAAAGTACAAGGAAACTGCAAAGAGAAGGGAAGGAAGGAGAGCAAGACTAGACTCACTCAGAAGATCGTACAGATTGCGCACCGCCCGCGGATAATCCACCTCCTTCAAGGCGCCGACGAGCA